TATATATATATAGAAAATAAAATAACAAATCAGCCTTTCTGAAACACGGATTCAGATTCTCATCTCTTCCCACATCGGTGCTGCCTGCAAAATTCCACGCACTTAAATCTAACAAATCAAAACCCATCTCAGGCTGGTGTCAAGCACCAAATCCCACCCCACCTGCACCACGAGGTTGGCCCGGCCGCGGCAGAAGCGCTCCAGCATGCGCAGGAACAGGTGAGCTGTCTCCACCAGGTCCTTCAGGAAGCTCCGGGGCTGCTTGGTCTCGTCAAACTTGCGGAAGAGCGTGAGGAAGAGCTCCCGGTATTCCATCAGGTAGAAGATGTTGCCTGAGGAGGAAGGTGGCAGTGGGAAAAGGTGGGTCAGGGACACCCCAGGTGTTGTTGTGTGGTTTTTATTTGGCCTGTTTATTGTTTGATTTGTGGTTTTTCTCCCTCTGTTTTCACAGTGACACAGATCTGCCTTTGTTATTTCATTGAGCCAAGGTTTCAGTTTATCTGTTTGTTACTTACCACCTTTGTTATTTAATTGAGACAAGATTTCAGTTTATGTAGGGGGATAGAATATAAGTAAATAAAGGAATATAGAATGTAATCTTATCCCCTAAAGAGTTGCAGCTCAGCTAATTGTTAAGGATTAGGAGCAGGCCTAATGTTAACTGCAGCCAGTAAGAAGAGCGTTACAAAAGATTAGATTGGTTGGTTGAGGAAAACTGGAGTCAGTTGTGAGGAGAAGGGAGTCAGTGCCTAGAGGAGCTGCCTACAAGAAACATCAAGGAGGAAAGAAACTCTAGCAACATGGAACCCTTGCAATATAATGACAATCAGTTTATCTCTTTGTTACTTAGCTACTTTATCTCTTTGTTACTTAGCTACTTCCCTGCCAAGTTTCAAACCCCTTCCCCTCACATCCAGCTGTTAACCCCTCCTACCCCAAGCAGTTTTCCTCCCTTGTGTTCCACCCCCAGTTCTCCTGATTGGCTGAACGTTGTATCCTCCCTTGACACCTGCCCCCCCTTTATAAGCTGTTGTTTGCC